CGCGCACACGCAAAAAACACACACCAACACACGAAGAGAGCCCCACACGTTTGGAACAGGTGGTTCAGACAAGCTCACTCAAACTCATGAAGAGAAGACTCAGGAGAAAGAGAAAGAGAGGCAGGAAGAGCCCATCAAGAAAGAGAAAGAGAGGCAGGAAGACCCCATCAAGAACTACTGCCATCGCGTAATCAACCCCGAGAGAGAGAGAGAGAGAGAGAGAGAGAGAGAGAGAGAGAGAGAGAGAGAGAGATCTCGCGGGGTGTGTGCTTTCTCCGGGGAGCCCTTCCCCGGAGGTGTATGCACTCTTCGTCGAGGGTTGGTGCGCGTGCTCGATGTTTGTTCACATCGGCCGATGACCAGTCTGGCTGTCTCTCGTTCGGTCAGTCCTAGCGTGGGAATGGAGTCACGATGCGTGTACGAAGGTCGGATTCCATAGGAATTATCTGCACAGCACAACACAGGACGTAAACGTGGGAACGATCCAGTGGGAATGATCCCAAGGTCACCCTCTTCTGAAGACGGGTCGGTTCCAGAAGCGGAACGTTTTACGACTGCCTGCCTTCCAGAATGCAGCCCATCTTTCGACCCAGAAGCAGCAGCAGCAGCAGCAGCAGAAGAAGAAGAAGAGGAAGAAGAAGAAGAAGAAGAAGAAGAACAAGAAGAGGAAGAAGAAAAAGAAGAAGGGGAAGAAGAAGAAGGGGAAGAAGAAGAAGGGGAAGAAGAAGGCAGAAGAATGCGCCGATCTACCATTGACGTGTTGCTAACGGAACAGACGTTCTGCTGACGGAGCAGTAACGGAACCGTAACGGAACTTCCGATGCTAACGACCGGCTTTCTCGTCATTATGCTAGAGCAACGTGTTATGCATGGCTATCCGCGTGCGATAAAGGCCCGCTTCGTCGGCCCCTCGCAAAATCTTCTTCCCAACTGAACTGCATGACGTACTCTCTCTCTCTCTCTCTCTCTCTCTCTCTCTCTCTCTCTCTCTCTCTCTCTCTCTCTCTCTCTCTCTCTCTCTCTNTCTCTCTCTCTCTCTCTCTCTCTCTCTCTCTCTCTCTCTCTCTCTCTCTCTCTCTCTCTCTCTCTCTCTCTCTCTGTGTCTCTCTCTCTCTCTCCCTCTCTCTCGCTCGCTCGGTCGCTCGCTCGTTCGTTACGTAAGTAGAGACACGCACATTCGCGAGGGGTCTTTCTTTCTACTTCTTCGTCGAAAAGTTGTCTTCGAAGTTCGAACGCGTTTTGCTGGCAAAAGGAGTAGATAACGACTGCAGGAGTGGGCTGGTAGACCGCGCGGATGCTAAATGCTAGACGAACACCGTTAAACACGCACATACACAAATAGTCGGCAGACTGTCGGGACGCGAATCCTCCGACTAATGACTCGGTGAACTCCGACGAAATATTCTGGCACAGTCTGCCTTTTTCGGCGGCTTTGTGTATAGCGAAGATGAGAACGCTCACACACACACAGAGACAAGGGGGGAGAGAGAGAGAGAGAGAGAGAGAGAGAGAGAGAGAGAGAGAGAGAGAGAGAGGGCCGGGAGGGAGGGAGGGAGGGAGGGATTTGTGTACGACGGTACGTGGAACTGGGCGATGTGGGGCGAAGTGGTCTTCGACTGCATATATACGCGGTCGGCAGTGAGCTTGCCGCGTATACGAAACAGTTTGTCACAGCCCCTCGTTTGTTGTCCTCTTCTCTCTCTCTGCCTACGGTTTACCGGGCAGTTCTGTTTGTGACGAGATATATATATATATATCGTCACAAAAATATATATATCGATCATCTATCTATCTTTCTATCGATCTATCTCTATCTATCTATCCATCTACATGAGAGGTCTTGGTGTGAATATGGTCGAAATGGGCGTGCTCCCATTAGCAAAGAGGATTGGATTTAATTCCTGAATGTGGATGTGTTTTGTCCAGAGATGCATGAAAGCCAGCCAATCAATCCGAATTTTCCTTCGCTCTTATCGAACGGGTGAAGATTCAGAAATGAAGTCCAGTCGTCTTTGCTAATGGGAGGACCGGGCCCCGGCACGTGCACTAAAGAGTCTAAAGACCCTTAGTTGGGGCCACACAGTTGCACGTACTCGTCACGATTTTTACTTAGACAGAAAAAAGAAGTTTAAAAGTTTCGTCCGCCGAGTGAAGCTGAGGAACACCTGCCAAGAACTGGTTTTGTGAAGGGGTCGGTCAGTAGGACGACCTTCTACCAAAAAAAAAAAAAACAGCAGTAGAGAGGCCAGGCCTCGGATGGTGACCTAGAAACAGCAGCTGAGAGCTTGCCACACTCATGAAAGGCATCTGACCCTTCCCTTGGAACTTCGAACGGAAGTTTGGAGAGTTAGGGGGGGTGGCGCTGCACTACTCTCCACTCTCCACAAAAAAAGGGATCGGAGAGTGGGTGTGGAGATGAAAAGCTCTCCGAATTCGTGATTCTTGGTTCACCGCTGCACTGACAGGCTGCAGTAGCAGACAGGGTGACAGCGGTGGAGGTCATGGGAGGACACGGCGCGATTTCGTTTGCACTGTGTCCGTCCAGACTCCGGGCACGCTCTCCGAAATTCGGAGCGCATTTCTGAGAGTCGGGCAGAGGTGGAGGTCCCTCCGGAAAACCACCCACCATTGCAGGCTGGGCATTGGGCACTCTCCACCAGAGGAGAGGAGAGGAGAGTGCTTTTCCAAGGCAGTTCCTGACAGTTATCCAAAGGTTTTTTGAGGGGTGGAATCGGATAGTTATTAGTGCAGGCTGAGCGGTCAAAAACTCTCCGAATTCGCAGAGTAGAGAGAGAGAGAGAGTAATTCGCAGAGTAGAGAGAGAGAGTAGTGCAGCGAGACGGTATGGGCCTCGCCACACTACTCCCGAAACCGGGCATTTTGTTTGTGGGAGAGAGAGGTGCGTTGCCACACCAGCTCCCCAAAGAGCTCTGTCAGAGCTCCGCCTCCGAGAACACTCCCGAAATCGCCTCCTGCCTGCTACACTTCAATTTTGTTGAGAGACCTCCGACTGTGACCTTAAGGCCGGATCTTTGAAAAAAAAATAAAAAAATAAAGGCCCGATCTCTCCTGAAAACGGCTTTAAATTCCCATTCACGTTGGACAAGAGAGCATTTGTTGTCGTGTTTGCCTACTGCGGCAATCTTGGGGGTGTGTTTGCCTACTGCGGCAAGCTCGCATGCTGAGAGCCCCCCTCTCGAAAGTACAGTGTGGCAAAGGGCCTCGCTCCACTACTCTCGACATGCACAAAAGACGAAAATCATGGCCGTGTGTCTTTCCATGTTCTAGCAGAAGATTCACTCTCGTTCCGCACTTTTGGAGAGTAGCGGAGCAGTGCCCAAAGGGGCTCTCGCTCCACTACTATCTGCCGTCAAATTTTGGATAGTGGGACACCGCTCCACTTAGGGCCTCGCCACACCAATGTCCAAAACGGCATTTTCGACATTTTCTCCTCACCACACAGCATGTCTAAATCGGAGATGCAAAAAAAATTCAGGAGCTGTCAGGGAAAGGGTTTCGACACCTCCTCTCGACTCGGAGCAGGGTTCGTTTCTACTTCAGGCCTGCAACTCGGACATTTTCAACAGTCCTCCGATGGCATGTCGAGTTCTTGCCCGAATGTCCAAAAGTAGAACGGGCCAACGCTTGTCCTATCTTCACTCCAGTTTGTCTCCTTTGTGCGGAGGACCTAGGAGTTTTTTTTTCATTTGGACATGCTGTGTGGCCAAGAGGGCTGTAAATTCTGTAGAAAGGGGGAATTCAATGTCGAGGAGTTCCTGACATATTTCGAATGTCGTGATGTTTCGACATCGACATAGGTGTGGTGAGGCCCTGAGGGCATTGCCACACCACTCTCGAAATCTGCAAAATGAGAATGAACTTCCCGCTAGAACATGGCCAGATGCACCCGCCACATTTTTGTCTTTTTCACATTTCGACATTGGTGTGGCGAGGCCCTAACTATCCGAAATGTACCTTTGGAAACCACCGTATAGTGGTCAGATGGCGCCCTCCAAATTCACCATACGGGGCGGCGGCGCTGCACTACTCTCCAAATGTGCAAAATGAGAATGAATCTTCTGCTAGAACATGGAAAGATGCACTGCCGTATTTTTTGTCTGTTGTGCATGTGGGGAGTAATAGTGCAGAGACGCCACTATCCCATATAAGGGCCTAGTTGCACTACTGGCCATCCGTCACATTCCGTGGTGGATCAGATGGCGCCCTCCAAATTCACCATACAAAGCACCATATAGTTGTGATGGCGCCCTCCAAATTCACCGTACGGGGCGGCCCCGCTGCACTACTCTCCAAATGTGCAAAATGAGAATGAGTCTTCCGCTAGAACATGGAAAGATGCACCGCCGTATTTTTTGTCTGTTGTGCATGTGGGGAGTAGTAGTGCAGCGAGGCCCATGATTCCGTATAAGGGCCTAGTTGCACTACTCGCCATCCGTCACATTTCGTGGCGGATGTGTGGAGACTGAAAAAAATGAGAATCGTGTGGAACTCGAAGCCTGGTTGCACTTACTCGCCACTTCATTTCTTCTACAGAAAAAGTTAATTTTTTTTGTCTACCTGATGTCGACTCGTGAAGCCCTGCACTCTCCAGAAAGTTGTTTTGTGGAGAGGTCCGAGGACCACCCTCCACAAACAGCCGTGCACAGGCAGGCAAACCGAATTCACTCTCCACAACTTGTGTCGACGGTGTGGCGAGCAGTCTGTCACATTTTGCATCAGTAAGTGCAACCAAACCAGGCGCCTAGTCGCCAAACTTGGTGTATGGAGAGTACGCCGACTAGTGCAACTAGGGCCTAATAGTTCCCAGCCTGCAGCCGCTAGAACATGGAAAGATGCACCGCCATATTTTTTGTCTGTTCTGCATGTGGGGGAGTAGTAGTGCAGCGAGGCCAACGATCCCGTATAATAATAGTTCCCAGCCTGCAAACGCCGTAACTCGGAGGGTGGTGGAAGGAGGTGGGCGTTCTTAGGCGAAATCGTATAGAGCACCTGGAGTCTGGGCTGACAAATTGCTGTAGTGGACTGCTGTAAGGGTGTTTTGTAGTGAACTCAGGAATTGGAGACTTGTATAGCAGATAGGAAGTGGAGCCACACCACGGTTTATAGGATTTTGAAAGCTCTGACATGACAGAGCTATACAGCCGCGATACGATGTTGAATTTTTTTTTTTTTTTTTTTTTTTTTTTTTTTTTTTTACGAAATTCTGTATAGCTGACAGTAGTGGAGGGAGACACAAAGCCCGCTCTCGAACTGGATTTTCGAACTGGATTTTCCTTACACAGTTCTTCCTCTGCGGAGCACTCCCAATTTTTTTTGCTGAAGGCATAGGGAGTGCCGGGAGTGGTGTGGGCAGGCCATTAAGCTCAACCAAGCACCTAGTAGAGTCCCTCCACTACTCTCCACATGCATACAAGAGAAAAAAAAAGGGGTGTATCTTTCCATGTTCTCGGGGATGATTCATTCTCATTCTGCACATTTGGAGACCAGTGAAGCAAAGGCCCCTTCTTCTTTTTTTTTTTTTTTTTTTCTTTTGAAACACAACAAGGGCTCCATTCTATTCGTGGGGAGCAGCACGTGTTGGGAAGCGGGCCCAACGTCCCTTATACCAAAATTATTGAGTCCGGGGTCCTCACAGTCTACCCGGGAGATGAATCAGAAAAGATAACAAATCGAACGCTGTGCTTTCCAACGGAAATAGGAGAGAGGACCGAGGGATGGGTAGTAAGGGAGGAGAAAGAGAAGGGGAGAAAAGCCGGAGTGTTTACCGAGTATTCACCACTAGTGCGTGGCTCCGGGGGAGAGTAACAGACCCTCTCAGCCGTAGGTGATAGGAAAAGATGAATCTACGTCTGTGGGGGACTGTCCCACAGGAGGTCAGCATAAT